TAGGTTACCTACTCAAAAGAACATCGATTTTAAACCTACTATAATAATTTTTTTAGGAAATTGTTTATATATTTTACTGCATAATATGGAATCTTTTTAGGCACTGAAAAGGCTACTTATCAGAAAATTATAAATGCTGCGAAAGATAGAACTGACATCGACATGCTAGCTAAATTAAGAGACTATGAAGATTTATTCGTGTTTGATGCGAAATATTATAAATTATGTTATAGCCATTATATTAGATATATATATCTAAATGAAACATTTTCTCACAAAAAAAGAAATCAGTACTCGATATGACCACAAATTCGCCAGGTTAAGTCCAACTCATTATCAAGTGGTAGTGATATTCAGGAAGATATATTCCTTCCCAAAGAAATGTCTTGTCTTTTGGCACTTCATTGTCTTACCGGTTGTGACACTACTAGTGATTTTTTTAAAATAGGAAAAAATCTACATTTGACGTTCTTAAAAAAAATATTGTCGTCCTTCAAAACTTATTAGAATTGCCAATGCTGTCTAATGACAAAGGTTTAGAAATCGTTACAAAATTGGTTCTTTTACTGTACAAACCCAAATATAAACAAATTCAGAAATGAAATGATCTAAGAATCAAATTAGCAACAACAACAAACAAACCATCATGAGAGCTTCCTCCAATTGACGGCGCTTTTTACCAACACTTTTTAAGGTAAATGTATATATTTAAATAATAAATTTCTTAGCTAATATATTATAATTAACTATAGCAGGTGCATGTATCAACTTAAAGTATGGTACAACAGCAATATAACCACCACTTATAAATTTCAATATTTTCCAATGATAAGTCAATTCCTGATTTTGTTCGGCAATCATTAAGCATTTATAGTTCCAATAAAAATTGTAATAATCGAAAATGCGGATGCGTTAAAGGTCTAAAATGTTATAATAAGTGTAAATGTCGTCTTTGTAATAATTTTATTAAATATTTCGACGTAGACGAAGAAGATGACGAATTAGAATGTTTTTAATATAGGGCCTAAATTGTCAAAATATAAAAATTGTGACAATAAATGATTTTTTATCAATAATAATTATTAATGGCAATTGTTATAACTATGGTGTTTGTCATATTGGTATATTTTTAAAATATGTCAAAATTTCATACAAACTAATTTTTTAAATAATAACTAATAGTTTATGCCCTTGAATAAATATAAGAATATNAAATTTTTCTCAGATTTAGCTATCAAAAATACAACTTTTTTGTTATTTACTTTTTTCCTATCTGGCTTTGTTTAGACATAAATAAAACTTTTTGTTTCACACAGTTTATTGTAAGATAATAAAAAAAATAAACAACACGGTATGGAGAAACAACTTATTGTATAAATAGACATCAAAGGAGCTGTTCGAAATGCCCACCATTTCGTTCTACACACAAATTACAGCGACGTATCAAAGACCGCCTAACGTCTCTCAAATGATGTGGAATTATTCTGAGAGCAGCGTTGCGGATTCGTCGTACAAGTTCCCTTGCGAGTTAACAGGCGTAGAGTAAACTGCATCCTTAATAAATCCCCAAACAAAAAAAATCCAAAGGTGTCAGATCAGGCGATCGCGGAGGCCACCCAACTGGACCTCCACGATCCTCCCATCTCTGTGGATACTCTGTATTCAGCCAGATTCGTGCCACCAAAGAGTACTGAGAAGGGCTTCCATCTAATTGAAAAAACGAGTATATTCTGTGTTGAAAAAGAACATCGTCTAGCATGTTATCATGCTGGGTAGTTNTACAAATAATGAACTCCATTGTCTTAAAAACTTAATATATTCTGATGATTATTACACACTGCTTATTAGGCACGTACCTACTCCAAATCCCGCAAGCCGTACACTATGTAAAATACACATTACGTTGGACGCCCCATGCATCAGTATAGCGCGCTATGAAATAATCGCTTGTTGCTAAACTATAAGCTTTAGGAAAAAACTAATTATTTTAAAAATTTATGTAATGTTTGGGCTTCATTTTCTTCGCTGCATGTATATAAAAAAAATCATAAATAAAAAAGTTTATCGATTGGTGATAAATGTATTACACAAAATTGAAATATCAAGTTTTCATGATTTTTAGCGAAATGAAAAAGCGAATTTTATAAAATCCATTAGTACTGTTAAAAGCGCTATTGTGCCTGCTTAAATTAAAAAAAAAATACTCCGATAATACAATTATTTTTTGAGATATAACGGTGGAGACCTTAAAAAACATATTCTCATAAAAATATATTTTTTTTATTTTTTCGAAATTAAAGAGATTAAGAAATCGCACCAAGTCTGGTTTGGTTCTACGCCAGTTTTTTTTTATTTCGATAACTAGGCGACTTAGCACTGCAATTTTGCTCGTCTATTTATAAATTAGTTTTATTTATATGTAGTTAGTAACATATCTATGTGTTAATTCATTCATATTAGCATGGTGACTTTAAAATAACACGTCGTTGTCGTAGAAAAGCAATATGTTTTCATTAAATTATTTTTCATTAGTTTCGCTGTGTTGAATAAAAAAATATATAATCAGTAAAGAATAATAATTAATAAATCATGTAAAAATTTTATTTTTGTTAGTAACAATAAAATGTTTTCTTTAATATTCGGCACTTCGACAACAGACATATCAAAAGAAATATGGTGACTATAAACACGTCGCTAAATTATACAAGCAATAAGTTTTACTAAATTATTTTCCATCGTAAATGCACACAATGTAGGTTGATTTCATACCCAACTTTCTTTACCCTGTTTTTTATAAATATTTATTTCTATAGACTATTAATGATAAACGTAACTCTTGTTAGGTATATTATATATGAGAATGCACTTTGAAATACACATTGATATAAAACGAATGCTTTAGTTGTATTATTGTTTCAGAAAAATTTAAATTTTCGCCAATATTATTAACTTTCATTTTTTAAATATTTTCTTGAAATTCTGTTGAAACACTTAAAAGTGAAACTCGTCTTGTGCAAATTTCAAAGTTTATAATCAATAACAAAGTTTTTAATTTATAAAAATCGTTTGAAATATGTGATATATAAAAACACATACGAACGATGTTGAAATTGAAATTTGAATAAAGCAGTCTTATACAGGGTGTCCCTCCGGGAACTGCGTCGATCGATATTTATTAAAGTACTGCTCCGAAAAATTTGAAAATTTGGCAACATGGCAATGTCCCTGGGGCTAACACAACTAAAATATCTAGAACTCTCCAGCATTTCCGATTATTTTAATTTGTTTGTTATTTATGGAAAATGTGACAAAGTAGTTTCAAGAACATGTGGAGAATTTGCTGCTTTTTTTCATAAATAACAAACAAATTAAAATAATCTTCATCAGTATAATATAAACGATCCCCAGGCATTTTTTATTTAAATATGTATTCAGCAAAAACTATTCAGACAAAAATTTGACAACTAACTTGGCAAACGTCAAGTTATTTCAATTGTTTAAGGAGTGTTTCTGGTCATGGCCAATTTGACAACAGGTTTGATATGACAAAAACTATCCAAAAAATAGAAAATTGCAAATATCTCTAACAGTAGTAACGGCAACCCTAACAATACTTATATGGCTTGAAAGGAAATTTCAATCTGCAAACGACAGAGTAAAAAAATACAGGATGTCCCATTTAAGTTAACAAAGTTATAGCTATTTGAAGTTATCAAATGTAACAGCAAAAATGAAACACCTAGTACTAAATGTTTTAATTTGTTGGTCATAATTTAGTTTTACTTCTGCCCTTTGCAGGTACCAAAAATCCACTTAATATTACGCTCCTGAAAAGAGTTATTAGCTTCTCCGCGGATCCTTATATTTGTCTTTTTTTTTAATTTTAATATCTACAATGCTATAAGGGGAATATTTAATAAGGTGACCCACAAATTTCACACTCAAATTGGTGTCGTATTTTCCTAGATATTAATCGATGCAGTCCCCGGTGGGACACTCTGTATATAAACCTGCATTTTTTTTTCTAAAACTACCCTTTACACAATCCATATTATTTGATAAATCTCTCAAAAGTTATGTCCAGATGTTCTAAGTCTAAATTTATGATATGAATAAGTTATACCGAACAAAAAAAATGATATTCCAATGATAATATACAAAAATGGTTAGGTATTTAATATTAGTATCTGTTTAATTCGCAATAAAAAAGTGCCTTTTGGTTTTTATCTCGTAGGTAGCTGACTATTTATTTCCGAACAAAACGGAACTAGCTATAATATTAATTTTTACATATTTTAGTTATTTTCTATTATATAGGGTGTCCCATTTATTCTAGGTGTTACTTTACTTTTACATTTTTATAAATAAATATTGGGTATAAGTATCACCGTTTCATTATTACTTAATTGCTTAACATCCTTATAGGTGACAATCTGTGCTCCCCAGTGTACTTTACAGATTGCTCAGTGACAAGGTCAACTGCAATTATATTATCAAAAAATTAAACAAGGTAATTTAAAAAAAAATCCTGTTTCACAAAATCAATTCCATGAAAAATTTAATATTCTCCAATTTATTTGATCCGAAGTAATAATATACAATGAGTATTAATGATGTAGATTTGTTTTGTTGATTCTAACTCAAATAAAAAATGATGCCATACCTATTTTTTTATGTACGTAAGCCTGTTATTGAAATTTCTCGACTATAATAGGTACCTATATAATTAAAAACGGTCATTATTTTTTCTACTAATTTCTACAGTTCCATCGAATCAATCAGTATTTAAATAATTTCCTAATGTAAAGATGTATATAGAAAAAAATGTTTTTATTTCCTTTAACGTAGAACAAACTTAAATTCATGCAACAACCTTTTTGTAATATTTGGTATTTACTATGTTTAATAAAAATTATTGTGAAGTTTTACTCTTTTATCACCAACATATAAAAAAATGTATATGATGCCCACCACGTGTTTTTAAAAGCATTCAAACTTACGTTTCTCATTCTTCATCTTCACTGCTTCAACATTCAAAGTATCAAAGGCGCTTCTTTCAATTTTTTTAACATCTTTCTCGGACATTCCCTGCGGCTCCAAAACAGCCCTACAAGCGTTCACAATATCCATTGTTCACTATCGTATTAATTTTCGTTTACACCAAGCACTATATATACGTACTACACACTTATTCGATTTGACCATGAATCTTGGAACAAGCTCTCGGGCGGTCTAGGTTAATGTGTGGCTCGGCACACGCACAGTTTGCAATGTTCCGCTGACTTGGAACTAACTGTATCCGCAGACTTGTATATCTATGCAAGGTAGAAACTGGAAACTGAAAATCGAATCGCGGTATTAGAAGGCTGTGAAAACCTCGATTGTTTTGAGTGAACATGCGGTGAAACAATCATTTGTTTCACGTAGGTGGATAAGGAAGTTAATAAGCGTCACCGCCGTTCGCCACATTCAAGACATTTTCGCTATACTAATATAACTGTAAATACCTATTGTGTCGCAAGTATATTTGTATACAATACCTATATGTAGATGAGAATATTTATCATACGAATAAAATTATGAAAACTTTTTGTATGTCTTCAATGGTATACAGGGTGTCCGCGTTTTTTGTAGCAGGACTTTCACATCTTGTACTAAGTCCTTTTAAAAAAAAAGTTCATGTAAACATATATACAGGGTGACCCATTAAGAATGGAAACACTCGCGTACAAAAGTTGTTTATGGACCTATTTGATCCGGGTTTTTTTTTAAAGATAGATCTCCAAAAGCTCTATCTTGATGCAAAATTTGAAGACGAAATTTTGATTTTCAAGGCCTACTACGAATTTTTTTTCAAGTGAAAAATAGCAAAATTTTGTTAGAGATTTTTTTATAGAAAATCTGACTACACCACTGAATTTAGGAACCCCTCAAATGCATTTGTACCAATTTTTGCGAAAAAAGTTTGCCCCTAAAAAAGTTATGACAATATCGGCATCACCAGTGTTTGCCGTTGTCGGTGAACCTATTCTTTTATAGGGAAACAAAATTAAATAACAAACACTAGTTTAATCATTATTAATAAGAATCATAAAAACTAGTATGCGTAAAATAAACAACAAGTTCGTCAAATTATTATTATTTCGTGGTTATTATGCCAAAACTTACAAATATTACCTTCTTAGACAAAAATAATTACATTTATACTTTTTTTATTCAAAAAGCCACTGGATTCTACAACCATAATCCAATTATTTGTGAAGAATTTTCCGAAAAAAATATTACGAGATATTCCAGAAAATAACGTTGCCTAAATATGATATGAACAAAATTTGATAGGCTGTGAAAAATAGAAGTTTAGACAAAAAATGTCAAACTTCACAAGTAGTGGCACATTGTAATATTTTATGAGCATGGTTAAATAAGTTTCATAATTCTTTGCGATGGCTCAAAGTTTGACTTTACATGACAAAATTTAAATATTACACCTTTCTGGAGAAAATGATCGGACGGCTAGAGAGGTGTGTATAATTTTTAACAACAGACATCCAGATAGACCTATAATTACGCATAGCACAGTTTTTAAAATAAACAATACTTTTATGGAATATGGTGCTGTATCAAAATGCATTTTAAAAAGGGACAATCAACAGAGAAGACGTATTCACGNCTGCTATCGTGGGATAGTTTTTGCAAAGCATTATACCACATTTTTTATTTTTTTTCCCCAAACTGGTACTTACTGTATTCCTCATTTCATCCTTCAACATTCTATCGCGTTTCATGGCCGATGCGTGAGATTTTTCCTCCCATTATTAACGTGATCAGAGTTGCATCATTGGTTTTGCACCGACTAAATTCAAATGCTCGTGAGGCCGTCACTCTGCATATCTTAACACATGCCAAAAACAAAGTCTTTTTGATATTTTATCAACGCGCAGTTGCTGAGCTTTATTTTATTTCCTTCTTTTAGAAACTTTGCAAGTACCTAACGTTTCCTGATTATATTTTTGTTAACACAAAACTAAGCAACTGATAGAATATTTAAACGAAAATAAATACTGGGTGTGGGGATATTGTCGAAGTACAAATGACACAAAAAGACATTTACATAGATGTGACGTAATTCGCTCTGATTGGTGTTCAACCTATCATGGCGGTTTGCTGCACTGAAAGAAATGCGTTTTATTCTTTATTAGAATTCTATATGCCATTATAAGACCNATTGGTCTCTCGAAATTATAAGAGATAGGAAAATGGTTATATGGGGAATGTTTTAGATAATTCTGTTGCAAACTTAATGGCGCTTGCAAGCCAGTCCTATCTCTTCAGATTTTTGTGTTATTTTGAAAAAAGAAGTAAATGTGGTGTTTTCGAAAATCGTCTGTAACTTTTTTATTTAGAGGAATTTTTTAAATCTAAAAACACTATTTCACAGCAAGTTTTTTCGAGGAATTTCGCTGTATATTTAAGTTTTCATTGGGTCGTTTCGGTTGCGAGAAACCATCATCAACATTCATTTTTCTTATGGGCGCCACTGAATTTTAAGCTGAGCAAATAGAGCATTTTTTGGATTTGCAATGATATAATATATCATATAAGTACGAACAAATTTCAAAAATAACCTCAGAAATCAATATTTTAATCAATCAGGCAACACCGCATAATAACAGAAACGGTTATAGAATAGTCCCAAATTTTTCTAAAAGCGTATCATTAATGTCATGGCGTTGAGTAAAAAAATTACGCTTAGCATTATTCCAATGAAGAAAAATATATCTTGGAGTACCTTATTAAAAGTAATAGAAAAGCAGCTGTGGCTTGAAACAGTTATATTAGAAATTATCCCGAAAGACAACCACCAAATGAAATGTATTTTTCTAAATTTTTTACAAATTCGAGAATGTTTGAAAGTTTTGAAAAGCGACATGCTAAGAACTATGAAAGAGATAATAATAACCGAGGCAATCAAATAATAGATTTTTTCAACAACAATCCAATATCATCAACAATACTATGTAATAGAGAAATAAACATTTTGTAAAATGTTATTTGTCATTCAACGAATAGTATTCCTATTAATATTTTCAAGTACTTGTCAAACCTTTTCTTTCAGAATTTCCACAGTTTGGGGAGGTTTGAATACATAAAATTGATTCTTCACATACATACCCCCAGACGATAAAATCCAGGGGGGTAATATCTGGTGACCTAGCAAGCCATGATATGTTGGAAATAATTTGTCACTAAATGTATTATGTAACCGATTTTTAACAATTCTCGCATTATGGGCGGAACAACCATCCTGTTGATACCACACGCTGTGAATGTCATTATGTGGCGTTATCTCTCTAATTGCTGGTATAATATGATTTTCTAGCATTTCTAAATACGTTTCACCAGTTATGTATGTTGGTAAAAAAATGATCCTATGTTGATTCCCTACAAAATATATCGTTATGTACAGAACAAATAAATTACATATTTTATCATTGAACATTTAATTTTAGTGAAATAATCCAAACAAGAAAGATATAGGAAATTTGTTTACTATTAATGACTCGCCAAACATTGATACTAAATCGTGTCTGCAATATTCGTTGAGCACACAATTTAGGATTTTCTGTAACCCAATGATGGTTATTATGTTTATAAAACACTCCACAACTTTCATCGGTTCATCGCTGCTGCTAAAGTTTTCATCTTGGCATTTATTAACGTACCAATTACAAAATTCAAGCCTACGAATAAAATAAAGCTCCTGCACAATAGTCGGCATGGATGGGTGATATTTATTTTTCTTTAAGACCCTGCTAATTGTTGTACTTGAAATGTTTATTTCTCTAATACATACCTACTCTTACTGGCGATGTTGGATGGTTGTTGAAATAATGTATTATTTGATTGTCCTGGTTATTACTATCTTTTGTATGGTTCTTAGCATGTGGTTTTTCAAAACTTATTATATAAATATTCTCAAATTTGTCATTGTTTTGTTTAGAAAAATACCGTTTATTGGGGTATTTCGGGACAAATTCCAATATAATGGTTTAAAGCCATAGTTACTTTCCTATTATTTTTAATATAGCATTCCACCATATCACATTTTTCTTCATTAGAATAACACAAAACCATTTTGACGATTTTGAAACAAGTCTCACTATAAATATTAACAATGTTAACTATGATTAACAATAGTTCAATATGACAAGCAGTTTAAAACAAATGAAAATATTACACTGTAAAAAAAATCACTCAAATTTCACTCAATTTTGCTCAATAATGCATCAATTTCTGTCCACACCCGATTAAGTGAAATTTTCACTCTCTTAGTATGAGTACAACTGAGTAAAACCATTGCATCAGAAATGAGTGAGTTTTACTCAAATCCGAGTTACTGCTAACTATCAATTGGGCGACTTTTGACTCTATTCTGAGTACACAAATGGTGAAACCTCGTATTCTTTGGTGAATTTTAAGGGAAGTCTTTCCTATAAAATTTTTATCTAGGACGCTTCGTTAAAAAGATGCAGGGTCTTAAATTTAAAACAATATTTTTAATTTTTTTAAATAAATTAAAAACTTGTAAGTGAAATGATTTTAAATTGGGCACATGTATTTATGTAAACATTGTCCAAAATCTGAGGGTTTTTCTTACTTACATTTGCATGCTCCAGTGGCGGAGATACATGGTATCGGTGGCATATTTTTCTAAATAAAATAGTACGCCACTGCTTTACGGTAACAACCATGATATTTTCGGATTCGTCTTTTAATTTTCTACAAGTTACTACTCTGTTATGTTTTTCGAAAAAAGCCTAATTTTCGAGTAAAACTTAAAAAACCAACTGAAAACACTTTTACTTAAATGACATGACAAGCACTAATCATTCGGTTATTTATTCGAATAAAGAAATTAATAACATTCGTCATCATTTTAATGATTTTTATTTGAGTAAATGCTCAAAAATATCCCCATTTCCGCAGGCCCGACATCTGTTTGGTAACGAAAATGTAATTTGTTCGAAAATTGTTGCTTGAATCTGATGAAAAGCATTATTTATTATTTCTTCTAACTGCTCAAGTATATTAATTTCTTCACTGTCTACCAGCCGTTTAACAGCACTCCTCAAAAAGAAATGGGTGGGTTGAGGTCCGGTGTTTTCAATTCGTTTTTTACGTTTTACTCGAAAATCAAGCTTTTCTTCAAAAAACGTAAGTGCGTAGTAATTTATAGAAAATTGAAAGACGAATCCCAAAATATCATGGCTGTTACCGTAAAGAAGTGGCGTACTATTTTA